ACTTAATTGGAATTTCTAACCTTTTCAAGAGGTACGCTTGAAGGATTGATTTACTAAAGATGGAAACCGTATGTTCAGAAAATTCTACTGATAACGCTTTTAACTTACATTTTAGTATGATGTGAAATCAAACCAGTGTCATGTTGGGATTTTGTTCTGCAGTGAATGCAACAACATGTTGTATCCTAAAGAGGATAAGCGTACAAAAACATTATACTACGCATGTCGTAACTGTGATTATTCCCAGGAAGCAGATAATCCCTGTGTTTATATCAACAAACTTGAACAGGAAGTTGAGTAAGTATGCATAGCACAGTTTTGAGTCGTTTTTATTTATTTGTTCTACTTACTAGCATCCTTATGGTATGATATTTTACTCACGCATATCTTGTTAAAGTAGTTTCAATGTATTTAGAAGAGAAGAAATCGCTTCAGATGATCACTATTTTGACTGACGGAATTCCAGTGAGAATATAACCAATGCTTAGTGCAATTCCGAGATGAATCATATTGTTTGTTTAACAGGTTCGTCTCTGCATTCCATTTTGCAACAACTGATGGAGTCTCAAGTTACTTAGTTCCACAACATCAGAGACTCCACCCGATTGACCATACTGCCCCAACTTTGCACAATCATGTAATACCACCTCACTATATCACATGATGACAGTTCAACGCTTTTCATCCAATAATGATGGTTTCGAAAATGCCAGAGACATTGTTAGTGAAATATCGGTTACTCAAAGAATCATGGTCTCTTGAATGTCAAAGCATAAGTAGCGTAACTCAGGATTCCTTACACTACTATGTTGTTGATGAATGCAAAGTTTTGTCTTGATGGTTTCAAAAATGTCAAAGATCGGCTTTCGATATACGTAGAATAATTTGTTTATTTAAACACATAAACATTGGTACAAAGAGGCACCAAATAGAAATGCTCCACATAAACCATTCGATTTGTGTGAGGGCTGGAATACTGCTCGGGTACCCAAACCCAGAGAGGGGGTCAAACCCGAAGCCTTCGACCTAAAAGTCTAATCAACAAGGTAGTGGAGCAACGTCAGAAAATGCAATCCCATGTTAGCCAGTCACCAACAATAGGTTCATACGCCATTTGTTCCTTCAAAATAATGGGGACAGCCTATCTGTATCATTGGTTTGGAGTCAGGGTTTTCCAACTTCCTAAGGTGTAGGCAATGTGACCACCAACCCGGTTAAAGCGCTGGATATTCGCTTTTCTTCCTCTCAATTCGGTAAACCACAGTAATGCCGCAAGAAGGCAGTGAGTAGGACTTCTTTGGCAGTGGTTGTATGCACGTGGCCATGTGAGAGCATTTGGAGAGGGGTAGATGACTATGCCCACTCTCGACCTTACCAGGGCATTCGAGAGCACGTAGAACAATTTTCTTTATTGTACGGCCACTAGCCACATCGAAGTCCAGAAACGTTTTCACAGTTCACAAAATGTTTGCCTCAAGTGATGAGTGGAGGAACTGGTTGCTGTCAGATGAAGATGGAATAGTATAATGATAGAATCGCGCCTTATCCTACTTGTTGCTTGACAGAATGGATAAAAATGGTTCCATACCTCTATCCATATTAAGTATTTCCGTGTACGAAGTTTAAGTTTCCATAAAAGTATCATAAACACAGAATACGTTTTCAATAATATACAATGACTACTGATTTCTTGATAATATGATGTTTGACTAAGGAGTGTACCTCATAAATTTCAAAGAGTAGTGCTTTGATTCTCTCATATTACAACTCAGCTATTCCTTCTTGAACACCAATTCACTCGACAAGTCCTCAAATCAGAACGCAGTTGAACAACAAAGAGATTATATTCCAATAACAAGGTTAGATGGAATTAAGAAACACAGTAATAAAAACGTTAGTATATTTATAGTTTTAACATGGGAAGATCCTAGAGTGTTCTCCAAGTATCGACTACTGCTGATTGGATAGGAATTAGCCGATCAGCTTGCGCCAAAGCAATCGTGCACTGAGCATGTTTTAATCCAATTTATGTCCTGTTAACAGGGTAGTTAGACCAGCGGCGGTATACTCACTAGCAGTTTCATAGTCTCGTCAATGTAAAATTGTATTATGAAATGTACAACTTCAAATTGTAAACTTTTTCTGTTAATTTATTCATGGAATATTTTTTAAAAATAAAATAGTATTTCTTTTATCCATCTAAAGTGAATTGGCTTTAATTGTACCGGATGTTGTTCATGATCCAACACTGCCTCGAACAGAAGATCACATATGTCGTCGATGCGGTAAACAAGAAGCTGTATTTTTTCAATCACAAACATTGAAAGCGGAAGAAAATATGCGTTTATATTATGTTTGTACCAATATTGAATGTTTACATAAATGGACTGAATAGATGATGTATATATAAGTATTATGAAAGAAAGTCCTGAATAAAACCTAAACATGTAAAAAATGTATTACAAAAGTTTTGAGTTTGAGTCATTTACATAAAATTTTACTTATGTTCTTATAGATGGTCATTTACTTAAAAATGGTAGATTCTCAATTTGTTGATGTATTTTGATATGATGAGGAGAACCGATTGTTTGAAGCACAGTTGGCTCTTAAATCGATCGTTATCTCTAACCACCTCTTTACATCTCGACATAATGCAAGCGATGTAGCGTCACCTAGACTAATTAGCTACCTTTCAAATTTGCCGATAGGATTCGATTAACACGAAGAAGGACTTGAAATGCATGGCTTAGTCACTACCTAATGATCATTCAATTGTAAAAATCGTGTTATCATTGAGAAAGCTGTACATATGAAGTACTTTATGCGTCAATGTTTTTTTTTTAAATTTTTATTCTAACATTAATTTCTTACCATGTTCATCAATTTGAAATTAAACCGATGTCAGGACTGATCTTTTGGTGTATAAGATGAAAGGAAATGGTAGTCAGCTTTCGGTGGTGCCAACATGGTTTGTGTAGGGCAGGTTCTAGGTAATCTGCTTGACATAAGCGTAGAATATTTGCCAACCACTAACAGTTATCTTCAACACAAATTTCAAGGAAAATCTTATAACAATTACAAATTTATTCTTACATCTTTTCACCAATGATGGGTTCCTAACTCTCTGTAAGATTGAAGGCTTTTCATCTTGACACAAGACTATAGTTCCAAAGTAATATAAACTATTTACACAGTACTCATTTGAAAGGAAATTGATCAATCAATTTAGGTCTTTTCTAGAATTCTGATATGCTCGGAAATGAAAGAAAATATCAGTTATTGGACGTTTCATTCCATTATAAACATCGTACCAGTTAGTTTGGATGAAAGTTGTTAGAATTTCATAACTCAGTAGTATATACTTTTATTTTGAGATAATCTTGATCACATGAAAGTGTTTCCTAAAACGAATATTAGAACGTAACACGTTAATGATGGATAAGATACTAGTGTTTGCCGTAAACAAGTAATAATTGAGAAACTTTAATGAGCAAGTTTACGGTTGCATACTCGTATGCTTTTTTGACTCTCAAGTGCTCTGGTACGACCGAGACTAGGGAGAATCAGCTCTTTTTCTCGAAATGCTCTCAAGTGGCCACGTGCATACAACCAATGTCTTGCACACTACCTTCTCGTGTTGGGGATGTTGTCTATAAAATTGAGAGGACGAGAAATGAATATCCAGCGCTTTAACCGGGTTGGTGAACACGTAGAGTCTACATAGGGGAGTTAGAAAACCCTGATCCCAAACCAGTAGTGCACATGGTCTGGCTCCTGTATTCTGAACTATCAAATTGCTTATAAACCAGTCGTTGGTCACTAGTTACTATGGAAGTGCATCTTCCAATGTTGCTCCACTTCCTTGTGAATTGAATCTTAAGGTCGAAGACTCCGTGTGTGGCCCTCTAAGAAAACCACATGCTTCGGTCTGGACACCTGGACAGTATCACAGCCCGCACACAAATCAAGTTACTTGTGTGGCGCATATGTATTCTGTACCTCTTTTTACCAATATGTTTGTGTTTAAATAATAATAATGAATATTATTAGCTGCTTGCCATCACTAATATGTTTACAGTGTAATGTTGAGGTATGATTTAATGTGGAATAATTTACACTGATAACAGAAGAAAATTACAATCACTTTTTAACAGTCGTCTGCTGGTTCACATGGTGTTTAGGACCAGTCTGCAAGAAGTTATCTACCTACAGTCTGAAGGCTAATTTCGAATTTTTACAAAGGCTTGACAGCTTACTCATGGTATCTTTCGACGTCACTAATCTCTTTATAATGATCTCTGGAATAAACAGCCGGAATTTTATGTCAATATCCTATACTCCCCACTTCCAAATCAATTAGTCTGGACAGCTCCCATTATTGGGTATCAGCCTAAAGTGGAAGGTTAATAAGATGGAAGAAAAGAGAACGAGAACAGAGAATGATTGGTGAAACACGAAGGAAAAATGAAGTTTGATACGATTGATTGACATTTTGCAAATGAACTATTTACTGTATGGTTCTCAGATTTTACTAAGTGGTGCTGTAATTTTGTATACAAATACATTCACTTGTCCTCACTAGTGTTTTCGTTCAGTACAGTTGTACTTTTATTTACACAATTTCTCAAGATTTCATCATTTACAATCTTATGCAACTTACAAGTTAAATTATTGTATGGTGGTATTTCCATAGATAAAAATGATTAATTTTCATTTAACCTAAAGAGAAGACATACCACTATACTGGTTGAAAAGAGATTCGATTCTTGAAGTTGGTGTTGTCTACGTTTGATTAAGACTTGTGATATTGAATTCATGAATTCAATTGAATAAACATGTAAGTGGAATGAACATGGACTCGTTCAATGAATGCATATAGACAACGTTGAAGTAGTTCGCCTAAAATAATTCAGCTTTTAGTCGCTTTGTTAATCTGGATAAACGTCTTGTAACGATAATACGCCTAACAAAGACATTTGTTCACAGTAAAGAGTTTAGTTAGAGTCCGCAACAGTTTATTTATAATATGAAATGAATGAAACAATAATATGAATATGGAACGTTACTCAAAATTATTCAGTATACATTTTTAATGACTTAATTAACTCTAAGTGACATTTTATGATAATGTTTAAAGATTGTGTAATTAGTTAACACGGCCAGCTGTTACTTCTGATTCGATGCCACACTCATCATAACCACGTAGTATTTTGAAATATCCATTTTCACCCCAATCTTCATTCCATGAATTCGCGATCAACCAATAAGGAGTCTTCTTTTCTACACCCCATCCGATTATACGTATGGCGTGCCCACCAACTGGTCCCCCAGTAAGATGTTTATAGATCCCAGATTTGTAATTGAGAAAATCTTCATAAACGGTGAAGGCTGCTTCTACTGGTCCATACTTCATGATTTCCTTTTGAATAGACAATACATCATCAGCAACATTGTAGGACAATTTACCTAACAGATGAATAAAACGATGATGAAAATGAAACTGTTATCATTTAACAGAGAGCTTTCAAAAGTAATCTTAAAGAGGGTTATTTCACATGTAGAAGCATCACTTGTAAGCAACTCTTTGATAATATATTGTGATCGATCTATATTAGTGACAAGTCAACGTTTTCATGATAAATTGTTATAATTGTCCAAAAGACATTACTTACCCCGATGCTTGTCTTGAGCGTATGGGATTTTGTAACTTTTCTGACAAGTTTGTTTACAACGAGGAGTCTTGTAGAGTTTTTCACCACATGCAGGATACTTTCCTTTGGCATGATGCTCACATTTTGGGAATGGATATGGTTGACAGCCTGTGTGATTCTCTTTGGAACTTCCAGTAACAATACCTTCCTCTACCCAATAATCCCAAGCAGGACCAAGGAATCCACCTTCACAACCAAATCCACAACCTTCGCAGCAGCTCACTAGATCCACAGCACTTAGTTCCACAGGTTGTCTGCCACGTGACTGTATGCAGATTCGATCACTCATGGCTTCGACAGCACCGAAAGCCTGGAAAAGAGCAATGAAAACACCATGACGTTTTAAGATTTGTAATGTATTTACGTGGAATGACTGGTCGACATTTACTAGCCATCTGAGTTTAATATGATCTGTTTCGTTAGTTATTTTATTCACCGGACATATATTCACAGATGTGATACTCCAAATTGACCTATGTGATGTCATATAGCATTCAAAAAAACAATTTCTCTAGATAATCTGTCTCTGATACTGTCTGACGTTTGGTGAGATCTCCTACAAACTCACTGATGTGTAGAAATATCCATACTCATACCATCATTGTATACATATTTCAAATAATGCGATCATTAGAACTCACCCAACATGATCCACATCGTGATTGATCACGAATGGTCGCTATACTTTTGCAACGAGGCCATTTCTTCCTTGAATCGAAACTTGATGGAATTTCAACATTCCAATCATTATGGTCAACTGTGGGACGTCTCTTCTTTCTTAATTCTGGTTCCTCTCTTCTTGCACCCATCAGAATGCGTGCGTCATCCAGTGAGTGGAAACGTTTGCTTTTCTCAGCTTTCCATTCAGCATTTGGCTGAAGAATGAAAAAGTTGAAATCATGATGGAATGAGAAACTATTCTGAGAATTTTGAACTAAAAGTGGAATTCAAATATGAAGATTGAGATATTTTTCTTTCAACCGTCAGTTGTTGTATTGAAATTAGATATGTGAAAGGAAATCAGTATTAGGCTGATGGCGTACGAAACAATGTAACATGTCATTTTAAATAATTTATAAATGAATTCTAGTTGCTAAGAGGAGGAATCATCTGATTGATTGCACATTCTCCTCAATCAAATCTCGTTTCGTACACAAGCTACTTACATCATAAAGTAGTAGATCTATTCTAATCCAACCGATCATACACAGTCAGAACATACATTACTACAAAAAAGAACCTACATGTTGATTGATATACGAGATGATGTCATCTGACAATGGTTCAAATCTTTCTTTCTTTATTGAGATATGAGCATCGAGAAGAGTTACCAGTGAAGCGATACACAACACAGACGTAAGCATATCTAAAGAACACTTGTGAATGTACTCCTTCGAATACAATAATCATCATATAATCATTGTTTTATATATACTAAACTGAAATAGTGAACTTTGAGTTACAGTGGTATGATAATATCACATTTATTATTTCACTTCCATTTTTTCGCTTACAACCAAATGTAACACTTCAATAAAGTTATGATTCAACAAACAAATCATCACAGATCACTTCAGAATGTTGATCAAAGTTCTTATACACGATAAGATTCCAAATGAACTAGTAATGTTAAACGGAAATCTTGATTTCATAGGTTAATTTTTTAATCATTGCTATTACAAGTACTTGAAAAATGTGGTAATCACAAATGTGTTTACTTATAATTTGTGCTTAGTGATAAGTTTTTTATGATAAAACTGTTCATTTTAAATAAAAACGTTTTAGGTCGATTTAATTAAGCTTCATTTTTTTAACCATTACATAGTCATTAATTGTAAGTTTTTGTTCTGTTGAGTTCAAAGTATGATGTGATATGTTCGAGTTCCATTTTTCCAAATCAGGACAGTTCTGTATGAAGGTTCATCTAGGAAATTCGAAATAGGACGAAACAACCATTCTAAATATCACAGTTGGTTACAATGTGTTTGTTATGAATAAAATCAGTTTATTATGCTTCTCTAATGTAATTGTGGTATGTGCTACTGATGTCGACAGATGTAAGTAGTATGTATTATCAATCGAAAGTGAAATGCGTGGAGGCAGAACATTGTGAAAACTAAAGAAAAGACAACAAGAACAGAGAACTATCGGTGTGGAAACGAAAGAACAGTGATGTTTGCGACAATTGATTGATATTTTGCAAATGAAATATTTACTGTATAGTTCTCAGATTTCATCAACGTACGCCCACCAGCACTCTTCATTCACCAACAGTAACTCTGGAAGAGCTACAGATAAAGTTCGATTTCATCAAGAAACCTTATAATTTTATATTGAAGTGTAATCCGTTGTCCGCACTTGTTTCTTCTCGTTCACTACATTATACTTGCCTGTCGTTTATTGGGACAAACGAGTAGCCACAGTTCTGTAAATGTTATTCGAATAATTGAATCGACGATAGGCTTCGTATTTTGATGATGATTTTGTTTTGACATGTATGAAGTCGGTTCGATGTAGTGATTTTAGTAAAAATAGCTGTCAACTTCGGATAATCATCAATTGTGATCGTAGTCGCACACCATCACAGCAAAATACTTTTTCTGAAAACAATGTTGTCGCAATCAGCTTCAACGCATATGATATAACTATATTATTGTGAAACAAGACTACCAATCACTGAATGCTTATTCATATCTGGCTTTCGATGCGTCCATTATATGACGTTATTTGAACATGGAGTTCTAGCTAGGCTGCAACATAATCTTAAGTACGAAAGAACAAAATATAATACTACTTCACGTTGTGAGTTGGTGCTTAGCTACTAATTCGCTCTCAAATGTCCTGATATTTGCAAGAGTGGGGAGAGTCAGCCCCTCCTTCTACAAATGCTCTCACATGGTCACGTGATACAACCACTACTATAGAATTGCTACTCACAGTCTTCTCGAGGCATTACTGTTGTTTACCAAATTGAGAGGACGAAAAGCGAATATCCGGTGCTTTAACCGGGTTGGTGGACAGGGAAAGTCCACATAGGAGAGGTGGAAAACTCTGATTCCAAGCCAATGGTGCATATGGGATTCAGTATGAGTCAATCATTGGTGACTGGCTACCATCGGACTGTATCTCTTGACGTTGCTCCACTGCCACGTTGATCATAAATTTAGGTCTAAGGCTCTGGTTGTGGTTCTGTAAGGAAATCATCTGCCTTGGTTTAAGCATCCGGGTGATATATCTTTTTGGTATCTCTTTGTACTAATGTTTATGTGTTTAAATAAATAACTACTAATTCAAGGCATAATTTTAATCAAAATTACCACACATTTCATTGAAAATAATCGAAGTTGGATTTTCCGAAAATGTAGATGGTCTCATCTTGCTAGTGTTCCAAACTAATCTTTTACAAATCAAAGAAGAAAGAGTGTAGATGTATTGTTGTATCCATTCATTCACTCATCACTTTATATCAGAAGAAACAATTGAATGTAGAATGTGATGACTTGATAAACACTAAGTAACTGGGACTTAATCATTATTTGTAAGATTATTCGTATGACTAATGACGAACAGTAAAATAGTATTCCCAACGATAAACCACAGCATACTGGTGATTAGCTGTAATTGAAACTGAACAACGGTTATACACATCACTTTGTGCTGGTTTGTAGATGTTCATCAACACACAAAACAACACAAATACAAGGAAATACATACACTCAAACTAAAATTAAGTAAACAAGCTTACTAATTCATTAGTTATAAAGTTTTTCTAACAGACAATTTAACTAAGAGGCAACAGATTTCGACACTATGTTCCGACGTCTTTATTTATATATGCTGATTGAATGTTTATCGATCATTTTGGTTTGATTGTTTTCGTATTACCCTGATTCGAAGCTTTTATTCGAATCATAAATTGTTTCTATGGCGTTTTTCAATTATAAACTAGCATCGATTGCTTATATTTACACCACTTCATTGTTTCCATGATTAAGCTTGTTGTTGTTATTGCTTCGTAATACTGATACTTAATAAGTCCACTGAACGGTCTGGTCATGTATGTAAATAAATAAGTGTTTGAGATGTGATAACGATTCTGTACTGGTGATCAATGGTCTTGTATTCTTCCTCTTCGTTTAGGGATAGTAAGAATCGAGCTAATTGTCAAACACAGATTATCATTCTCGATAGTCGTGATCGCGTGTTCTTCGTTTAATGTCATCTACTTGTATTTGTCTGTTGGGGAACATAACAAAAGTATCTCTTTATACTATTTAACTATTGGAAATCATTCACTGTAGTTCAGTTAAAACGTGAATGTTCTCAGTTATCATACATTTATACGGTAGTTTTCAAGTGCACTGTGGTAAAACACTGTTCAATGAGTTCAGTTAAAAATTACATGAATTAATGTAGTTTAATCGTTAACGGATATTGTAATTGGAACGATAAGAGCTAGTGACAGTTGACACAATACATTATCTCAAATTACTATAAAAGCATAGACGTATGGTATTTCAATGACAACCTTATATATGGATTAGTAAATGATGATTACTGTTTATCATTCAGCACTAAAATGGGTTCTGAATTCATATTAATCGATAATTGTTACTTACTTGGCAACAGAATTGTGAACTAACACACATATAACTGTTAAGTCATTGTAAAAAGAACATATTCGATGATGTTTTAGCTTAGAATGTTGTTCTTTTTTCGAACAATCTCAATTTTCATCATATAAATTATGTTGTATCTCTTCATCTGCATAAAGCATTGGCGAAATTTTCATTTATGAACAAATCGATCGCTTAAAATAACGTGTTGGCATTTTAACTTATGGCAGTCCGTGATGAAAACTATAAATGCGATTCGTAACCCTAAACATCAATCGTAAATTATGATCCTTACTCTACATATCCTCCTTTATAACCATCATTTAGCTGTAGTAAGCAGAGGGACATTTTCAAGGTCTTTCAAGCGTTGCTCAATGATCGTCCATAAATTATAGTCTCACCAACACAGTTATTCTTACAATACGTTCAAACAAATTAAGCTTAAAGTAGCACGATCACATAATATCAATGTTATCATAGTGTGGTTGACAAAACGTGTTCATTGCTTTAACGGATATTTTGACAGGTATTAAAATTATTATACCCAGCATTATACATGGTTGATATAAGTGACTTCAGTACAGAACTCCTCAACATTTACTGAAGGATGTTGAAGTATTGAGTAATGAAAAAATGAAATAAAAATTTTTGTGTCGCGTTAAAAAGTCAAACCAAATATCGTCACATGAGTACGAACGGTTGATGTTATGTCATATGACAGTACAGATCTACTTGTTTTTATCGTATTTACCATGAATATTTGATAAATGTCATGCACTACTGTTTACTAATAAGTAGCATAATACGGTAACACACAAAATCATCACAGACTGAAGAGTTATAGTTGGATGGTGTAGAATATTCGCACAACTTGTTCGATAGATAACTTTTTTATAATAATGAAGACTAGTCAATTTCTCATTTTTAGTAACAGATCTCAGTAATTTATTTGCACTATGAAAAATTCGGAGTCTTGATTATATACCAGTTTTATTATTGCATCACGCTGAATAACTCAACCTTCTTTTACCACACACATTGGGATTTAGACGATGAAAATAATTTCGGTAATGAGCAAGATGAAGACGTTCTGTTTTTGACAAAGAAGTGTAACTGCCAGACTGGAATAAAAATACTCCATTTGGTTGATTCTATCTCGTGTGAGGAATGTTGTTGAGTATGATAAGAGTGATATACTTACTATTATCAAAATTTTTAAGCAATAGAAATGGTTGTGAATTAGTAATGTTTAGACGTAAGTCGGATTTTCTCGAATAATGTTAATATCCGATTTGATATACAATTGATCATCTGGTGGTGCACTCGCTTTGATGACTTGATCACACAACTTATTGAAGAGATATGTGTCTTATCAATTAGAACATTGCGAGTATCAGATGGCCGCTTCAGCCTGATGTGAATTTATTGTGAACTTGACAAATGGTCTGCAGATTAAGCATTCGTACACATAGACGATGGTGTTGAATTTAATTCTTGGAGGAAGAATAATAAATGAGAATCCTACAATGGTCACAGTTAATTGAGTATAGTTATGCTCACTTGTTATTGGAAATGAACTAGTTACTAGATACCAATCGGTAGTAATGAGCAATGCTCAAAAATGAGTTGGATTATTATACAACGTCTGTTCGAAAGAGAATACCTTCACAATATTTATCACATGAATCATCTGTCATTTTAATCACGATAAGGTGAGACAAAGTGTGTGTCAATTTTGAAAACTAGTGGTCCCTCTTAATGTCCGATTTCACTTATGTGTCGAAACTC